AAAAAAAAAAAAAGAGGAGCCCCAAACCCAGAGATACTTTGTCTCGATCAGAAGGTAGGATACTTGGAAAAAAGTACAAAGATTTCCCTGGACCGCAGGACAGGGCCTGCAAACAAGCCATGCCACGTGCCATGCCCCATGTCCAACGTTCCAGTCCTCCTTCCGTCAGCTCATCTTACCTCTCCTCAGGGCATTCTGGGCGTCCTGGGTCATGGCGTCAGCTTCATCCAAGATCACTAGTTTAAAGCCTTTCCTAGGAAAACACACGGCACCTTCTAAGGATGTCTGCTATCTCTGTTCAACTTCCAGGCACAAACCCTTAGCTTCACATGTGCCATTAGGCCCTTTCTTCCATAACCCTGACCAAAGCAGATGGGTGTGGTCAGAAAACAAGTGCCCCATAATGCCCTCTCCCCTTCGTGGGAGGTCTGGCTTCCGTGCATCTGTTACAGTGGCTCTTCTGGTGCTCCCTCCATCTTAGAGTCCCCTGTGGCCGCGTCTTTCCACCACCTTCACTCACACCTAAGTCTTCATCTCTTTACCACCATCCTAGTTAGCTTTCCCCATCTCAATTCATGTTTTTTCAGTTTCAGACTAGCTCACCCAGTGTTAGCATGTAATCTGTCCTCAGTTAACTAGTAAAATGAAGGTAATGCTTCCCTAAAGAACTTGCTGGAATGGGCTAAGATACTGCAGTTTATGTTTGCATCCTAACATTTCTTATCATCATCCCCACACTTTCTCTCTCTTCACGGCTGCTTCTGACAAAGTCATTTCTCACCTTGACAAACTGATAAAGGGGAGGATTTCAGAACTAAGCTGTATCAGCTCACTGATCAAAAATCTCTAGAAAGAAAAACTCAAATAACTCTTACTTAAATATTGTCCTTGTGCTAGCAAAGCTCAGGATCGGTCCCCGAACGATATCTATTCCCCGGTCGTCTGAAGCATTCAGCTAGATGTGGAAGAGAAGTTGGAATAAAAGGCACGTTGCCGGGCCATCTAGGAACTCTCGGTTTTAATGTAATTTTTCTTCAGTCCAGTTCAGCGTGTGAGGCCTCCAGGTCTAATGACAGCTGAGTGATCAACATTTTAAAAAACCAAACAAAAAGCAACAGCAACAACCAAAACCACCTTATAGTTGTATGCAAACGTCTAAACTTGCTAACTATCCATTACATTCTGAAACGCAAGCAATTGTTTGTCCGGCCACCCTCTGAAGACGCTTCAGCCATAAACTGAAAGAATAATGAAGTGGCCTGGTCACAGTGCAGGTGCCCCTGGCATGAGCAGCGCGATGTCACTTTTAGCAACAACCATCCATAATAGACCAGAGGTTTCCAGACTCTGAATACATTGAAGAACGTTCGTGACACAAAATTCTAAGATCCATCATTTAAAAAGTTTAACTTATTTTTTTCTTGCAATAGACAATATTTACATTTTTGTCATCTATCAGTTGACGTCCCAGCAGGACACAGAGGGCATGCTCAAATCCACTTATTTGAAGATAATTAAATGGAGGTGTATTCAAAGATGTTAGGGGAGGGGGAGGTATGGCAGGGAGCATAAAGGGTATGCGATACCTCAGAACAGCTGGGCCATCACCCCTCCCAAACCTGCAGAGGGAAGGCAAGGAGTGGTGGTGGTTCCTGGAGAAGGCTGTGCCCTGCAGGTGGGGACACTATGAGACTGTGGTAACCTGCAGGCTGGGGGTCACACCTCATTCTCCTTCTTCCAACTGTTGTCAGGGCCCCTATTAGCCAAACCCAACCAGGAGCCAGAGAGAGAGGAAGCTTGTTAGCAGTACAGCTCAGCCTCCCAGGGCAAGACCAAGGTGGAGACGTGCAAGGAACAGATCGGGAATGGCACACAGCAGCTAGCCAGCCACCGAGTGATCCGGAGCGTGCCCGGGTGAAAGTGGGCATAGCAAAGAACAACTCCCCCTCCAGCTCTAGCTGCCAGCTGCCAATGTGGGCCAAAATGACCACTGCAGAAAAAAGCAAACTGAAATGCCTTATCCCATCTGTTTCTTTTCCAACTGCCAGTGGAGAAACTCACTTTTAAAGTAAACCCAAACTCGTAGAAATGCAGGTTATAGTTTGTTTTAGTTATTGTGGAGTAAGACCAATCCCGTTTACCTCCAAAACCATGGAGCCAAATTCTTTATCTTTGTAGAGCTGTTTAGCACAGGCTAGGATGGTGGATGTCTTTCCTGTCCCCGGAGGACCATAGAGAAGCAGGTGTGGCAGTCGGTCTTCACTGATAAATTTTTGAACTGAGGATTGGGAAGAAAGAGACACTCTCAGTCTCATGGAGTTGCCTCATTCACTGTGGGTTCTTAGGTTGCCGGAAAGCACACTTCAACCCCATGCCATGCTCAAACACAGACACAAGAATGAAAAACCCAAAGGACTCAACTCTTAAAGCCACAGTCCATGAAGCATGATCACACTCCTCAAAGTTACTACTTAGCAGAGATGACGTAACTAAGAAATTCACACAGGTCCTTCAACTAGGATAAAAGCAAGTGACAGGGATACTTACTGGTACTCAAAATGTCCTGATGAGATATGAGATCATTTAGCGTCTGTGGCCGGTATTTTTCAACCCTAAAATACAATTTAATATATAAACGCAAGAGCATTTTGTTATGTGCAACAGAATCCTATCAAATCCTAATTGAAAGAGGAAGAGAAACACTACAGACCAGTGGTTCTCAACCAGGGGTGATTTTGTCCCCCAGGGGACACTGGGTTTACTGTTAAATATCCTACAATATGAGAGTCATTCCCCCTCCCTCCCAGCACACACACACACAGTATCTGGCCCCACATGTCAGTAGTGCTGAGGTTCAAAGACCCTGCTGTAATCCCACCTTTCCAGCTGCCTACCCATACTTGCAACGATGGTGTGCACCTACTAGTTTAAAGAGAAATCGAAATTAAACACATTACCCAAATGCCCATCAAGAGATGAGTGGATAAGCAAATATGTTATATCCATACAGTGGAAGATTATTCAACCAGGGAAAGAGTGAAGTACTGATATGTGCTAGGACATGGATGAACCTAGAAAACATGACGCTAAGTAAAATAAGCCAGACCCACAAGACCACACACTGTGAGATTTTACATGAACTATCCAGAACAGGCAAAGCCACAGAGACAGCAGATTAGCAGCTGAGGGTGGTGGGGACACTGTGTAGTAAGTGTCGGGTTTCCATTTGGAAGCCAAACCCAGGCTCTCTTTAAAGCATTACATATTTGTGGAAGCGGGGTACTTATGATCATCAAGCCTATTTTCTGGCTCTGGAATCTTAAACCATTCACTCACACTTCCTAAGACTCAGTTTCCTCACCCGTGGAATAGGAATGAGTTAATGCACCCCAAACATCTAGTAGGGTACTTACCACACAGCAAGCCATTGGATGCATTAAACTAGGGAGTGTTGCTATGTTTTATGTATTTAAAGAGTTGATAAGTAATCACAGCGAAGAAATTGGCTATCAAGAGAGAAGCGGTTCTGGCATGGAGGGCAAATGCAGTGTGTAAGAAATGGACCCGAATCACTGTGTTGTCAACCAAGGTGAGAGAACCGCTTTCTTCTGCGGCAAATGGGGGTGGAGCGGGGCGCGTGAGACTGCGCAAAGGGTTAAGGCTCTAATTCGAACGAGGGAGAGGGTGAGAGGTGTCCAGGCAAACCTCTGTGTCTCCCGCCCCGGCCGCGGGTCTAGGGGCGGATGGGCGAGCTCGGCCGGGCCCAGCCACCACTCCACGGCCTCCGGCGCGGCCAAGCCCTCCCCACTGCGGCAGCTGGGCCTCCTCCTACCAGGGCAGGTTCCTGCTCTTGGCCGCCGCGGGCGGTTGTTGCTGCTTGACTGCTGAGCGCTCCATGGTGGGAAGACAGGGGTGACCGGGTCCACTGGGATCGGCCCGTGTCCCAGGCACCAGCACAGAATAGGATCGATCTGTTCCCGGACCCTCGCACTTACAGTTCGCGCGCAAAATCAGCTCTCGCGAGACTTCCCGCCAGCTCCCGACTTCCTCAGCATCTGTCCCGCCTCTCTGTGCTGCTAAAGCGCAGGTTGCCAGGTTACCGAGAAGCGCCTGTCACTAACCTCTAGGTGTTTTCACCCTTTGAAGTCGGCGCTGAGCTTTCTCCCTTGCTCTGGTCTTCTGTGCACAGGGAGAGAAGGGGCGGGAGAGACAAGGCCGCCCCCTGCAGCCGGTCATCATCATTATTATTATAAATTAGGGTCTCAAGGCCCTAATCCAGCCATCTTCTAACGTACCACCAACGTTCGAACGTTTACCATTCAAAGAACCAGAAAGATACTGGGGCTTATAAACAAATAAAAATCCTAAGGAGAAAGGATATGCTCGGGAAAGTGGAGGGTCAACGAAGAAGGGGAAGGCCCTCAACGAGATGGATTGACACAGTGGCTGCAACGATGGGCTCAGGTATAGAAAGGATTGTGAGGCTGGCAGAGGACCCTGCAGTGTTTCGTTCTGCTGTGCATAGTGGTCGCCAGGAGTCGGAGACGACTCCAGGGCAGCTAACAACAACAAGAAGAAATAAACAACCCCAGGAGACATGGCCAGTTCTTGAATATAGATGCCTGTCTGAAAAAAGGCTGGCAACACCTTTTGGCCCCCAAGCTATGAGTGGAGTATTTGCAGTTGACTGCTCTAACAAACAAAACTCCAATCCACCCGTTTTCTTGAATCCGTGCCCCTCATCCAACAAAATTTAGAGAATCAGCCTCCAGCAACAGCTCCAGAGTGAAAATGAAAAGAGGAAGTCCCAGTTGGGTTAATACATATAACTGGGGGAGAAAAAACAAACACAAAAACAAACTGCCATTGAGTTGAATCCAACTCACAATGACCCCCACTGAGTTACAGAAGTAGATCACCCCATCTTCCTTCCGGGCTGCAGGGTTTGAACCGCTGGCCTTCTGGTTAGCAGCCAAATGCCTTAACCACTGTGCCACCAGAGCTCCTTATGATATGAAGATTCTGAGGAGGAGTGACATCTCAGAATTTTAGTGCTTTTATTTCCCAGGTGAAGGGATTCTGTGTCACTTCTGTTTTCTTCTTTTTTGCTGGTGCGTATTTTCCAGCAAATACGGATGTCTTTTACATCCATAGTAAAATGCTGGTGCAATTGTTTTTAAAAATATGGTGAGAACGCCAAAACTGCCTGGGAGGCCACGAGACTGGATCAGCAGTGCTCTGATTCACAGATTGCCGTCCTCTGTACATCTCATTACGTCACTGCCACTTGTTTTAGGGACAGAATACAGGGACTGTGGGCAATGCATATGGTAGCTGTGACTTCACCCCGGCCCCTGTCTGGCGAGCCAAAGGACGGGGGTCAGTGTGGCTTGTGGTGTAACAGTGCCCCACCCCTTGCTTCCTCCAAGGCCCACTCTCACCCTGGCTTCTCGCATCATAGGCATGACATCTTTTTCACTTATGCTTGGACTTAACCTTACTTCTCTCCTTGTCCAATACATACTCCAAGATAGTGGTAAGGATTACATGAAATAAAGTACTTAAAGCATCCAGTGCAAGTAGCCCCTTAGTCTCATCCCATCCTTGTAACACACTCTCTATCCATCCTGTTCTTGTTTCACATTTTTCCTCTCAAACAAAACCTAAAGGATTGGCTTTTGTGACTATGCCATAACCTGGGCTTTTTCAACCCCCACAGTAAAAGCCATACTGCTAAGTGGTCTTTGCATTAAAAACACGAATCTGGTGGAACCTGCAAGACTATGGCTCCAGATGACTCTTCAGGCCTAAACTTG